TGCTTTCTCTTATATTCACCCTTCATGGCAAGTTTCAAGCTGTAGGGCGAATTCTTGGACACGTGGCCTAGAATTGCTAATCTCTGAGAACACTCCAACTCAGCTAATGGCAGGCAGGCTTCAGTGCTACCATTTTAAAATGGCATCTGCAGGGAGCACACACAAAAATACCGCTGCCTATAAACATGAAGATTTGTGCAGAAACAGTAAACCACAGTCCCCAGCACCCACAAATGACAGTAGAACTACTACATGAAGGTCAAATCTGAAATTTATTCATTAAAATAATAGCTTCCATGTAGTCCCACCTGTCATTAAGTGACCACTACTACAGCTAATTATCAATATTTATTGGTCTCATACAGTGTTAGGATCACCAGGGATGACCATGTGAAAATATAGAGTGCTCACACTCTTGATTATGAAACTTAAGCCATTCTGTAGCCAGCCTCCCGACTTAGCCCGTATTTGGCCAGGCTGCAGAGAGGAAGAGGCAGAGAGATCGTCTGTCCACTGGGCTACTCTCCAAATGACCACAGCAGCAGAGGCGGGGCCAGGCCAGAGCGGGATCCAGGGACTTCGAGGTTCCCCACATGGTTGTCAGGGTCCCACACACTTGGTCCATGTTTTATTATTTCCACATGCAAACAGTGAGCCAGGTCAGAAGTAGAGCAGCTGGGACTCAAAGCAGCATACACATAGGATGCTGGTACCGCAGACGGAGGCTTCGCAAGTCTCCCTTAATCTACTCCCCTCAAAAAACCAGTCTATTTATGATTATCTTCATTATTATTATTATTATTTGAAAGAGTAAACAAAGAGTCCTAATCAATTAAGCACTCTTACTTTTATTTATTTATTTGTTAATGATTTATTTCTTTTTATTGCAAAGCCAGATATATATAGAGAGAGGAGGAGAGACAAAGATGAAGATCTTCTGTCCGATGATTCATTCCCCAAGTGATCGCAATGGCTGGAGCAGCGCTGATCCAAAGCCAGGAGCCAGCTCTTCTGGGTCTCTTATGCAGGCACTGAGTCCCAAGGCTTTGGGCTGTCCTTGACTGCTTTCCCAGGCCACAAGCAGGGAGCTGGGTGGGAAGCAGGACTGCCAGGATTAGAACCAGCGCCCATATGGGGGATCTTGGCGCTTTCAAGGTGAGGACTTTAGCTGCTAGGCCACCACACCAAGCTCTGTTAAGAACTCTTAAAGATGCTCAATGACAGACAGAGTGGAGACAAATCAGAGCCAGCTGGCTGGAACTCCATCTAGGTGGCAGGGACCAAGCACTTGAGGTGTCTGGTGCTATCTCAAGAGTGTACATAAGCAGGAAACTGGATGGGAATCAGAGTAGTCGGGACTTGAACCAGGAACTCTGAAATGGAATGCAGGTGCTCCGAGCAGCAACTTAACTGCTGTGCCAAGCATACACTCCAACATAATCCACTCTTAAGATTCTCTGAGACTGAAATCTATTTTGTCCTGGGATATGAGTTCTTTCAGAAATAGCTTACACAGCCACATGTTTGCTCTTATATCTAAAACCAGTATTAATTCTAGGCCAAGCAATTACACACCTTAGAATCTCAGCGAACACATTATTTCCTCAATGTCGGTGTAGTCAAAGCGTGTAATATGAAGCCATTTTGCTCTTGCCAACTTCTAGAAGGCTGAACTCACACTGTGTAAGTTACCTTTTACTGCATAAAAAAAAAAAATCCTTAAAACACAGATCTTTAAAACTTAAAACTTTGGATACTTAAAATCCCAGACACTTACAATCTCGGGATTTTGTTTCACTTTTGATCTAAAATGTTAAACTGGTAGAAGTGGAGCGTAGGGCCTGGTGTGATACCTATTGGCTAAATCCTTGCCTTGCACGCCCAGGATTCCATATGGGAGCCCGTTTGTATCCCGGCTGCTCCACTTCCCTTACACCCTATTCCCTGCTTGTGGCCTGGGTGGGGGTGACTCAAAGCCTTGGGACCCTGCACCTGCTTGGGAGACTGGGTGAAGTTCCTGGCTTCAGATCCGCTCAGCGCTGGTCATTGTGGCCACCTGGTGTGAACCAGCAGGTGGAAGATCTTTCTTTATTTCTTCTCTGTATATCTGCCTTTCCAATAAAATAAAATAATAAAATAAATAAAATAAAAAAGAAGAAAGTGGAATGTAGAATGTTGTTTACCAGAGTGTGGTGCGGAGATCATGGGGTGTGGGAATACATTGGTGAGAAGGTACAAATTTCAGTATCATGGCTATAGTTACTAACTCTATCTATGTACAGATACACTGAAAGGTATATCTGAAAACTGCTAGGAAAGCAGACCTTAAATGTACTCACAACAAAAATAACAGTGAGACAATGGATAGTTTCAATAACTTGATTAAATCATTCTGCAGTGTATGCACATTATCAGAATATCACATAAGTACACAATTGCTCCTAAACATGTGATTATTATTTGTCCATTAAAATTAAATTTAAAATAACAAAATAGGAACTGGCATTGTGCCATAGTGGGTAAAGCCACCGCCTGCAGTATCAGTATTCCATCTGGGCAACTAACTCAAGTCCTTCTTCTACTTCCAACCCCATCCCCCCCAGCAGCCTGAGAAAAGTAAAGCAAGGTGGTTTAGGTGTTTGGATCCCTGCCACCCATGTGGGAGATCTGCACACAGCACTTGACTCCTTAAAAAAAAAAAAGATTCATTATTGAAAAGGCAGATTTACAGAGAAGGAGAGACAGAAAGATCTCCCATACACTGGCTCACTCCTCAAGTCGTCACAGTGGCTGGAGCTGAGCTGATCCCACAGCAGGAGCCAGGAGCTTTCTCCCATCTTCCAGATGGTGTAGGAACCCAAGGCTTTGGGCCATCCTCCGTTGCTTTAGGTCAGGAAATAAAGCAACCCCCATATGGGATCTCCAAGCTTGTGAGGGGAAGATTAGCCCACTAAGCCATCGCACTAGGCCCAACACCTGGCTCCTGGCTTCAGCCTGCCCCGTGCTGGTCATGCTGGCTGTCTGGGAACTAAAACAGTGGACAGATTTCATTCTCTTTTTTCTTTTTCTGTAATTCTTTCAAAAAGAAAAAAAAAGTAAATCTAGCTAAAAGAAAAAAAAAAGGCAAATGAAAATGCCTTTTCTAACACAGAAGCCTGAAAGAGTAAAGGAGCAGATCTGTATTCTAAGCAGTTACAGGTCTTAGTTAAAAGGAAAATTGTATCATATAGAAATGTATTCTCCACAAAGGAATGAACTAGAACCAAGGACACTGTCTGACAAAGTAAATAAATAAGAAAGCCATCCATTGTGTGACTGCTGGGTGATAAAACGATCAGCGTGGGGATGCATGCGTCTGTGTGGATGGGGACACACATGCATTGCCCTGCAGTGTGTGACAGCAACAATTCACTTCCCTTGGGTGAATAGCAGAGGTTAATTACATGCTAAAAAGTTTGGCTCTTGAGGAAAGTGTTTACCAAAATAACTGTCATTTTACTTTCTCAAGCAATGTTTATTTATATACATTTTTAAGTGTATTTTTATTAGGCAGACTTAGAGGAGAGGCAGAAAGATCTTCCACCCACTGCTTCACTCCCCAAGGGGCCACAACAGCTGAACAGAGCTGATCTGAAGCCAGGAACCTGTCTCCCACAAGAGCATGGCCCCCAAACCTGGGCCAACCTCTACTGCTTTCCCAGGCCCTAAGGGCAGGGAGCTGGAAGGGAAATGGAACAGCCTGGACATGAACTGGTGCCCATACAAAATGCTGGTGATTGAAGGTGGATTAACCTGTTCAGCTACAGCCTGGTTCTGCAATGTATGTTTCATTCTACATTCTTGTCAACACTTTGTGCACTTTTTTTTTTTTAATTTTGGCCATTCTAATGAACATATTAACTTACATCTAATGAGCACTACTCTATTAGCCTCTGCACGGTATTGTCCAACACATACTTTGTGAGACTACGCACACGTTCTTTTCTGAGACTTGAGCATAGCCTAAAAATGTTTTACCAGAATAAGCCTTATCTTTCATTTTCTTGGTAATGTCTTTGGAACACAAGTTTTGTTATATGAAGTTCAGACCATCAATTACTTCAGGAATGGTTTTGGTGTTTATCTAAGCTTTAAGCAGTCTAAGAGCAGGATTTTTCTGTTTTGATACATTTCCTACGTGGGCCTGAGGTGCAGCAGTGCGAGCTGCCACTCCAGTCTCCTAGTGGAGTGCGTGTTTGAAGCCCTGGCTACTCTGCTTCTCCTCCAGCTTCCTGCTGGCATTCAGGAGGCAACCGATGGCTTCTGCCATCCCCCCAGAGACCCGGGTGGGATTCCCGGCCTAAGCACGGACTACTACTAACTTTGCTGGCATTGGCAGTGGACCAACAGATGGAAGACTTCTTTCAAATACTTAAACCTACTAGACAAAAGCTTGGAATGGTCTCAACCCAGTAAAAATGGCCAAATACTACTTGCTTTAGTGACAAATGTATTAAGATATGGTATTATTTGCTTTATGTCTTACTGAATGATTGAGATGATTTCAACACCCAACCCTGTGACCAAATTAGAGCAAAACTGGGGTCAGATAGACAAAGGAACCCTTTCAATTCTTAACATAAATCCACTCAATGCCTTCACACACAGTCCTCCGCTTCCTAATACGGTTGTTTAAAAAAAGCAGGTGTTGTGGCACAGTAAGCAAAGCTGCTGTCTGGGACGCCCCATGAGCACCGCTCTGCTTTCAGTCCAGCTCCCCGTGACCCACATGGAGCTGCAGCTGGAGTTCCAGGCTCCCGAATTGTACCTGGATCAGGTTTGCTCATTGTAGCCATTTGCAAAACGAACCAATAGATGGTTCTCCTCTCCAAAATCATCCCTTTCAAATAAACACACAAGATATATAAATTATGAATGTTATAACAATTTTATTTGTAACAAAATTATATATATATATATATACACAAAAGACATTGTATGACAGATAAAATATAGAAATATTTACACATACACAAAAATATTAAAACAGTTTAGAAAAAGGGAAAATGCAAAGATTTTACAAAGAGTGTTGAAATATTTACATGGATAAAAAGGTTTAAGAAAGATGATACAACATTTAAACTGACGCTATAAACTGATACTTCAATTGGTAAATCAAAATAAATTTGTCTCAAATGCTAGTGGATGGTAAATCAGACTCACATTTAACTGTCCAGGTAAAATGTCATGCCCTTTATGTACCACAATACAATCCATTCAATTTTATTCTCTGAATCACAAATATCAGATAACTCTTGCGCTTCTTAAAAGTATTTAATCTTCTGATCTGAACTGAGAATTTTAAAGCCTTTCACATTAAATCGTAAAATGTTTTAAAAGGTTACACCTTCTCTCTTCACCGGGAAGAAATCCCTGCATACTGCACTGACCTCAACATAAAAATGAGAATTACAACACAATTGTTCCTTTTTTAGTTAAAATCTAGTCGTCTGGTTGCTTTTGTAAAACATCACAACCTTCGTAAACTCTTCTTGCTTTTTTTAGTCCCAGGCAGAGCGCCCATTCTGCAGCTGGCTCTCAGGAGTCTGCCACTTGAGCAGTCGGTGGTGCTATGATAATCACACAGGCACCGTGTGCAGTAATCAAACCCACAGCCTTCCCGCTTGCATGTGGCCCGCTGCAAATAGCAATCATATTTTGCAGGTGAACTGCAGCGAATACAGGCTTTGAGGCTTTCATTCTTTTTCAAGGTCCTGGCAACCTACAAGGAAAAAAATACGCATAAATATAACCCATCGTAAGGACTGAGTGTAACTTCAGCAACTCCTGTCCTTGCTTCCTACTCAGTGGAGAGAACACCCCCTGTCAACTGCTACTTCCACATTTGCTCTTTGCTCTGATATTGCTACTTGCAACTCGGTACCCAACAAATACCATCTTTTCTAATTCTTCCCGGGCTAGTGAGCAGCTGGTTGCTTTTTCTTTTTACCCCACAGATTTATTTTTACTGGAAAGTCAGATATGCAGAGAGGAGGAGAGACGCAAGATTTTCTATCCACTGATTCACTTCCACAACTGCCTGGGCTGAGCCCATCTGAAGACAGGAGCCAGGAGGTTCTTCCAGGTCTCCCACACGGGTGCAGGATCCCGGGACTTTGGGCTGTCTTCAATTGCTTTCCCAGGCCACAAGCAGGGAGTTGGATGGAAAACGAGGCTGCTGGGATTAGAACTGGTGCCCGGATGGGATCCTGGTGCACGCAAGGGGAGGGCTTTAGCTGCTGGGCTATTGTGCCGGGGGCAGGCTGAGGCTGGTTGCCTTTCTCCCTCTGGCTCTTTTTAAAACCATGTATCACTTCACAGCACTTGCTTTTCAGGTGGCTGTCTCTCATTCAGACTGAAGCTATGAAAGGTACAACATCTTCTCATGTACTCAGTACCTGTCAACTCACACGCCACGTTAACCACATCAACATTTCAGACAGAAATAAAAGTGTCTATCATATAATTCAGCTGTATCAATGTCAGTTGCACACCATTTTATGTGAGTAGGATCTGCAATGCACACCATCCAAAGATCCACTTCTGAATCTTGGGACCTGGCTTTCACTGCTCATCTGTCTTCCTCAGTTAAGTTTTACAAGAAATTTTAAAGTGACAAAGCATTTCTTTACTTCCTTGCTGTTTCAAAGTTAGAACCTCACTGAACGTAGGGACAATGCCAAGCCAACACGCTTCATCAGATAGACACGTTTTTAACTTCCCCCGTTTCTCACTTTAAACCCTTTAAACAATAGTTTCACGATAGTTTCCGTTGTACAGATTAAACAAAAAATTACCTCAGAGAATTCACTGTGTCGGCTGTAAGCAGAGCCCTTCTGACTGGTCTGGGCCTCGTTCCTGGGAGGATTCTGGACTGCTGATTTCTGAACGGAAGCCAATGCAGTTCTGAACACGACATACTCTCTGGTAGAAGCGTGTGGTGAAAACTTGATGCTGTTTTCCTGAACAAGAAGATGTTAAAGGACTTAAGATTCGTCCACTCCTATGCTAATTTGTTACAGTAAGAAAGGGTACATACCAGCGCAGCAGACCGAGCTGTGCACTCACTTCCCCACAAGTTACCATCTCCTTATGGAAACAGAGCGAGCCAGAGACTGCGGAACCTGCCTCCGTGCACAGCCAACATGCCCTGCTGCGTGATTTCTAACTGGCCAAATAGCAAAGCTCTACCCCCAGAACAAAAGGCCATTTCTTCCCAATCACTACACGACATCGGCCACATCTGTCACCTCAATGCTACGAAGAGATTTTATATTTTTTAAATTTTTATTATTGCCAGGTTGTTAACAAAATGGAACTTGTCTAAAGTCACACAAAGCTGCTAAGCAGAAGCAAAATTTAGACCCAAGTCTGTCCAAACATGCTTATTTGGATTTCAAGAAATATGTGGTCGTTATGCCTTTCCCTTCTACAAATGCCAATCTTCAAATTGTCTGACTTTCTGCGATTGAAAATCCTAAAACAAAACCATTGTTTTCTCGCTTCTATAAAATCTGCCCTTGCATAAAAAAAAAAAAGAAGGTGGGGGTGTGATGCATTGGCTAAACTGCTAATCCTCCACCTCCCAGGGCCAGCATCCCATCTGTGTCCCAGCTGTTTCACTTTCCACCCAGCTCTCTGCTTATGGCCTGGGAAAGTAGCAGAAGATGGCCCAGTGATTTGGGACCCTACACCCATGTGGAAAACCTGGAATTCCTGACTCCTGGCTGTGAATCAGCTCAACTCTGGTCATCGCAGACATCTGAGGAATGAACCAGCAGATGGAAGATCTTTTGGTCTCCCCTCTGTAAAATCTGCCTTTCCAATAAAAACACATCAATATTAAAATAAACAACAACAACAACAAAAAAAACCCCAACCATAAGTTATAAGTACTATTATTGCACATGGTAGAATGTCCTTCCCTATCTGAGGGGCAGAGTGTGAATCTGCTAGTTAGTTCATTCCTCAGATGCCCATGAAGACCTCGAACTTTCTGACAAGAGGCCAGGCAGGAGCTAGGAACCTAGTTTCGGTTTTCCACATGGATGACAGGAAAACCCACCGACGTGGGGCTTGCAACTGCTTCCAGGATCTGAATCAGCAGGGAGCTCGAGTCAGGAGCTAGATGCTGAGCCCTTTCTCCAGTGGAACGCCGAGTATTCTATTTTCTGTTGGCCGAAATGTCTTGCAAAGGTTTCCAGATCACTGTTCTTTCGTATTTTTCCCACATTTCTGAACGCAAAAGAGTAACAACAGCTCATTTAAAAAAAAAGGAAACCATCAACAAAGACTTACAGTAACTCTTCGTGTTGCTTCACTGTACAATTGGAATGCCTCTTTATCATCTTCTAGAATCTTCTTCCAAGTTGTGCTTACTTTAGATACACTAGAAAAATTATAAAGTAAGGAAATAATTAAACCGAAGATGTTAAGATGAGCAGAGAAACAGCACAAAAAAAGCAGTTTATATTAGCAACATTTTTCAGTCACAACTGTCTATACATTAGATTCCTTGGGGTACACAAGATTTTTTTTTAAATATTTATTTTATTTTTATTGGAAAGTCAGATATACAGAGAGGAAGATCTGTCTGTTGATTAAATCCCTAAGTGGCCTCAACGGCCAAAGCTCAGCCGATCTGAAGCCAGGAGCCTGGAGCTTCTTCTGAGTCTCCCAAGGTTTTGGGCCGCCCTTGGCTGCTTTCCCAGGCCACAAACAGGGAGCTGGATGGGAAGTGGAGCCATTGGGATTAGAACCGGTGCCCATATGGGATCCTGGTGCATGCAGGGCAAGGACTTTAGCTGCTAGGCCACTACGCCAGGCCCCGGGTACCTAAGAATTAAGGATGTGCCATGCGCAGCTCCCAGCCTCAGATGAGCCCAGCTCTTTCTATACAGCACACTGAGTCAGAGGACGCATTGCGGAAATGCCTTTCAAACAAAACCAAAGCATTTGGAAAAACCTTAAAAATAGCTCTGCAAGAACAGAAACTATTAATTTTAGGAAAAAGTCACATCTATTGGACTAGCTGATGGTTGGGCTGTTTTAGTTAAGTTCCTAAGATGTAAATGTGTTTGAACTAACACAAAGAGTGCAATGTAACAATCTCACTACAACCTTTTCATAAGCTGGAATATTTAGCCATCAACAACAAATGCCGGGATTATGCCAATCTATTCAAACAGCAACTTACTTGATTAAGTCCATGCCACTGAGCTGCGTCAGAATATCTGCTAAGAGATGTCTGAGTCCCCTTAGGAAGAGTTCACTGAGAATGTCAACACACTCCAGGCCCATTTTCCTGCCAATTAAATTCTGAAGTCTAAAATTTCCACTGGATATAATTTCCTTCAGCATCTCTCGATCTATTGTAGGATTTCGTTTGGCATTCTTCTTTAATGTAGAGCAAACCACTTTTTCAAAATGAAGAACAGGCAACAAGTTTTTGTCGGGGAACTGGTCCGGGCTTTGCACCTGGATCAGGCAGGACTGTGACCGGTTCCGGAAATCTTCCTCCAGAGGAAGGCTTCCCTCTTCGTGTTCACCGAGTCCGCTGTGCTGAGTGAAGGACGAATAGCCACTGTCCTCATAGAGCCGGCTGCTTTCCAGTTCCTCTGTGTCACTGGAGCTATTAAGTGTCTGTTGTACATGCTGGTTTTCCTTGTTGTGCAAGGGTTTGCTTTTTGTTTCAAACGCTGCAGTCCTGGGGCTCGCCACTGGAGAGCCGCCGTAGGAGAGCCTGTCATACTGTTTAGCACAGTCTTTGCACGACCCTTGCGGAAATGCAGAAGGGCAGGGACCTTGTCGTCCAGCGTTGTTGCCGGTTTTTACCAGTTTTAGTTCAGAATGAACATGGTGGCAATTAAAATCACACTTCATTTGGACAGGTAAGATGCAACTTTCTTTACAACCTGCAAAGAGACGTGACGTTTACTCTTAATCACTCTTAATATTTGCTATTATTCCTTCTCTTCAATCTAAGCACACACAAACTTATTCTCAGTACCCCCAAGCATAATATCCTATAAATTACGAAACTGTAACATGGGACCTGGTACAGTGGCTCAGTTGGTTAATTCCCCTCTTCCAAGCATCAGAATTCCTTATAGAAATGTTTCATGTCCCATCTGCTCCATTTCCCATCCAGTTCCCTGCCTGTGGAAAGCAACAGAGGATGGCCCAAAGCCTTGGAACCCTGCTCCCACATGGGAGACCAGGTGGAAGCTCCTGGCTTTGGATTGGCTCAGTTCCAACTGCTGTAGCCACTTTGGGAGAAAAACAGCAGATGGAAGAACTTCTGTCCTCACTCACTGTAATTCTTTCAATAAGTCCTGAAAAAAAAACTCCCATTGCTCTCATTTTCAAGTTTTATTGACTGGTGATCTAGTGTAAATTACTAGAATATCGGCCATCTTTAACTACAGAATACAGTGTATTTTATTTTAAAGATTCACTAAAAAATTATTTTTATTTGAAGGGAAGATTTACAGAGAGAAGAAACAGGGCTGTACCTCTGCTGGTTCACTCCTTAAATGGCTATAAAGGCTGGAGCTTACTGATGCAAAGCTAGGAGCCAGGAGCCTCCTCCGGGTCCCCCATACCGGTGCAGGGGTCTAAGGACTTGAGCCACCCTCCATGTTGCTTTCCCAGGCAGGGAGCCTGATCAGAAGTGAAGCAGCTGGGATTAAAACCAGCATCCATTTGAGACGCCAGCACCACTAAGCCATGGTGTTACCCACCCTTAAGAACCAGAATGGCTAGTTCTGATAAAGACACACCCAGACGATTAGAAAGCCAGAGTTAAGATAAGGGCAGCAGCACAGCAGGCCAGTTTCTATCCAGATGTTTTAGGGCCCGGGGGAGGGGAAAGGGGCTAAGAGGCATCCCATGAAATGTCAGGGAGCAAGTTCCTCTCGGATGCAGCTTCCTAACATAACCTGGGAGGTGGCCCATGGCTCAGGCACTCCGGTCTCTGTCACCCCATGGGAGACTGAGACGGAATCTGGTTTTTGCCTTGGACCTGGCTAACCCTGGCTGCTGAGGACACCTGGGGACATCTGGGAGAGAACCAGTGGATGGAAGAGCTCTAAGAAAGGGTGATTATCGTGGGAGTTCTGAAGAACTGTGTCCCCAGGTCCAGGATGGCTGCAGAGGAGAGGAAGATGACGATGGATTCAGGTAGACTGTGCAGGTCGAACCTTGAAGGAAAGCAGGGTGAACAAGGCTCTGGGATTAAGGCCTGAGGATCAGATGCGTGTGCTGCTTTCTACGGCCAAGCACAGCGCTCACTCAGCTGTTGCCCGGGATCCGAGACCAGACTGCGCTGCCGGACTCGAGGCCCCGGCCACTCTGCTTTGGATTCAATTTCGTGCTGACGTGCCTGGGAAGCAGGGACAAATGGCGCAATTTCGGGGTCCCCGTTACCCAGGTGGGGGACTCATGGAGTCCCCACCTCCTGGCATCCTTCTGGCCCAGTCCTGGGTTCCAAATGTTGTAGGCATAGACCAAGGAACCCTGGTCTGGAATGGCAGTTACTGCAACTGCCATTCACTGAGATGGGAAACTGAGGGGCAAGAACATGAAATTGGCTTAAATCCAGGGCAGAGTTCCTGTCACAAGAGTTTCATCCACAGGACTTGTTTTCACTGTTACTCATAAGCCAACCCCCATGAGCTTTATGCTGCAAACCAAGCATCTAAAAGCAGGAAAATACATTCCCCAGAAGTGCACATTTAAACATGGAACTATGGAAAGTAGATTCAGGAATCAGATCCAAATTCAGATGAAGCCCCCTGCTCAGCCCTTGACTGGCTCTTGCATTTGGTTTTCCTCAAAGCGGAAATGCTAATGACGTTTATACACTGGATTGAAAAAAAACAACCAACCAAGCCTTAAAGCAACTCATTTCAATCAGGACAACAGGCATCATGGTAAACTGTACAAAACGCCACTTCCTTTCCACAGTCCCACCTAGACCTGACGCTCCCATGGCCTAACTCAGGGGCCAAGGCCTCAAAGGTCCCATTAGATCTTTGAAGATGGAAATTCAATAATTAAGCACCACAACATCCAATGCCTATAGATACCCAACCTCTGCCCAAGGGCTGGCAAGCCTGATTTAAGAGGAGGTTCAAGGTCAGCAAGTCAAATCAGCCATAGTTGGAGAAAAAATGAAAAAAAAAAACCAACTTTTTTCATTTTCTCAAACCTATAAATGGAAAAAACGATTCAAGACACCACAGATGCTTTGAGGAGCAAAGCAGCTGGACAAGTGAAGTTAATTCAAAAAAAAAGTGCCCTCCCAGAGCCAGGGCCCTTCAGTGTAGAAATGGTTGCCCTGTGCAGTCAGAGGGGGAGCCCTCCATGTTACAGTCTACCTACTGTCTCGACTGAACTTTTGTTCAACTTTTTGCTAATTTCTGAAGCCACAAAAACGTATATGCCTATTGCTTGGAGAGAGCTACAAGACTAAAATACGTGCTTTGGTGCTCTCCAGTCCACATTTTGGAATAAAGGACCATCTGGAGTGCAGGAGAAAAACCACCAATCCCTCGGTTTCCACCAATTCTTTCTTAAGTCCTGCCCAGGCGACCCCCCAAAAGGGCAGTTGTGCGGCTGGGAGTCCTCCCCAGGTCGGATCCAGCACGGTGTGGCGGGTGGGAGGACTCGACCGATTTGGCGGGAGGGAGATAGCCCGCAGCCCCGAGGGGCGGATGGGACTCGCCCGGGGCGCGCGGGACCTGTGGTGGCGGGAGATCGCCGCCGGCCCCCGAGGGCCCGCTCTCCCGCCAGCTCCGCGGCCCGGCCGGGGGACGCGAGGGGCCGGGGGACGCGAGGGGCAGGGGGTGCCGGGCAGGGGGACGCGAGGGGCCGGGGGACGCGAGGGGCAGGGGTGCCGGGCAGGGGCGCAGCCCCGTCACGCCGGGCCCCGGGAGGGGGCACTTGGCGCCTCTCGAGGCCGGGGGAGGATGGGTGGTGCGTCCCGCCAGGAGCAAGGGCGCCCTCGCTCGCCCCGACCCGCGGCGGCAGGGCAGGACAGGGGCCGGCGGGGAGTCCACCATGCACCCCCAGCGCACCTGGCTTCCCCCGCACGCGCCCCATGCTCCGGACCAGGACCCAGCACCGCCCCCCGCCGCCCCGGCAGCCCCTCGGGGCAGGGACGGGATGGCCCCTCGCGGATCAGCAGCCCTCCCGAGGAAGCCCTCCCGAGGCGCGCCCCTCGCCCCCCAGGCGCCCCTCCACTCACGCTGCGCGGGGCCGAGGTGGCCGGTGGCTGTCACGGGAAGGTGGCTGGCGCGGCAGGAGCAGGAGGATGGCCGTGCGACGCAGCTGCAGGGGCGCAGGCTCATCCCAGCGGGCCAGGGGTCCCGCCTCAGGTGGAGGAGCTGCTATCTGAGGGGACAGACAGGGAGCTGGGACTGCAGGGATCGCTCGCTCTTAAAAGGCGCGCCAGCTGGTACTTTTAAAATCTTTGAATTTGGTGCCCAAATCGGCGCAGCCCAATGGGAGCCGTCGGCTGCAAGCGCGCACCAATAGGAAGCCCGATAGGAGGAGCTCCCGCGCTCGCGCCCAATAGGAACACGCAGAGGCGGAGCAGCCCGGCGGAGCCGACCCCGCCCCCTGACGCAGGCTGCGCTCGCCCGGAAGGATGCCATGCGGCGGGGGGCGGAGCCTGCAAGCGCGGGGAGGCGCCGCCGCTCCGGGGAGCGAGCCTGCCGCGCATGCGTGCGCCCGCCCAGCTCCCCTTCGCCGCCAGGGCCTCCCGCCAAGTCCCGACATCGGCCCGAAGTCTGAGGAGATGTGCCGGGCGGCGGCGGTTGCAGCCGGCTCTCTTCCATCGCCTCGCGCGCGGGAATCCGACGAGCCACAGCGAAGCCAGGCGTTCCGGCAGGCGGCCCGAGCCGAGCGCACCACGCCTCCCCGCGCCTGCGCGCCCTCGCCCCGCCCCCGCCGGCGGCCGCTGCGCGCGCAGGTGGAAGCCGAATTGGCGGGTTGGCGCCTGCGCGCTGCGCCCTGGCCTCCGGGGCGGGGAGCAGGTGGCGCCGGTGGAGCTGGGTCCTGGCGGGATGGAGGGCCACGTCTGCCCTCGGGCGCCCTGCTGGGCGGGGCGGGGCGGGCTGCTCGGCTGGGTCGGCGCGCTTGTTTAGCTAGTGGGCGGACTCTGAATTGCAGTGGTGTTTATGTTCTTCCTTCCAAGCTTCGGAGACCCTGGGTGTGTCCCTCTCCGGTCCCCGATTCCCAAGCGAGTGACTCTCCCTCGCAGGCTGGAGGGAGATGATGGCAGAAACGGGTGTTGAGGATTAATAGGATCGCGTGACGCCGCGCACCGTGTCGCTAGTGATGCTGTACCTCGCGTGCTCTGAGTGTGCACCTGCGCGCTGTCCCGCACTTCCCGAACTCAGCTTTTGGCTACAGCCCAGTGTGGTTGCTGTGTGCAAGCTCCCGAAGCCTCCACATGGGTGTTCCAACTTTTCCTTCATTCCTCTTCCTCTTCTTGGCTTAACTGCTGAGTGCAAATTGGGGCAAGCACTGTGTGAAGCAGAGCTGGGATTAGGAGGTTTGGATCCTGTCTTTACGATATTTTGCTGTTACAACAGTTTTTGGTATTCTCATTTGTTGAAATGTTGCAGTAGAGGGAACCATGCCTTGATGTCCCTAGAAGGAAAGCAGAGGAGGATGCCCCAAATGCTTGGGCCCCTACACCTTTGGGGACCAGCAGGAAGTGTGGCCCTTGGCTTCAGATGGCCGAACTCTGGCCCTCAGGGGCCATTTGTGTAGTGAATCAGCAGGTTCATTCTGCTCTCTCTCTGCAACTCTGCCTCTCAAATAAAATAATAATACATCTTTTAATAAAAATGTTGCAGTAGCATCCCGCCCATTCTCATTAATGCAGCTGCAGCTGTACCTTTGTGTTTCGTGTCAGGCGTGTGCCTTGCCTGCTGCGGCACAGGTCACCATCCTGAACAGCTTGTGAAGAAACAGGGTTTTCCTGCCAATGGGAAGATTGGCAGTTGACAATTTCAGTCAATTAAGCAGGCTATTGAGACCATCCAGGCCTGCTGAGGTCTTGGCCACACCTTCAGGTGGGCGGCACCAGCATTGCCCACCCATTGCCTAATCAATTAAGAGACCACCAATGGGGAACATCTCACCTGTAGGTTCTCTGCCCAACAAGGAGGGGTCAAGGAAGGCTTAAAATCCTAAGACCCTTCCTCAAACCTTGGGTGTCTCCCTCCCCTTTCCAGAGGCACCCCCTCCTGGCCTCCTTTCCTGAGGCGCTTTCCCCTTCCCTCCCTTCGCTGCTCCCCTGGTCCCTTCGCAAATAAACTTTTCTGTCTGGAACAGATTCCAGGCTTTTCATTTCTAACTAAGCTGAGGAAAGAACCTCCATGGGGGTTGAGATAGTCACGGGCAGGTGGGGCGAGGCTAGAGTAGCAGTGGTAGTCCCCAAGCTCGTGGATCCTGTCCCGGCGGACAGCGGGCCCACTCCTACTGCCCACGGGTCAGACTGGACTTGCCCCAGCTCTGACATACACTTTGGGCATAGGCTAGACAAGGGGGGGGGGCAAGTCTCCCTCTAGCCTGTTGATTGTCTCTTTGTTGCTCAGATGGGATCTCAACATTTGCGAGTGGACTCCCGAACTCCTCTTGGTTGTATCCTTAAAAATTGGGACATATTTGGCTCCCGGATCGTGAGCAAAAAGGACTTGATCTTTTTCTGCATGAAGGCTTGCCCCAAATACTCTCCTGCTAATGGTGAAACTTGGTCTCCCACAGGGAGTCTTAATTACCATACTATTTCAGAACTGGACAATTATTGTAGACGCTGGGGAAGGTGGGTAGAAATTTCCTATGTTCCAATGTTTCTCCATCTCCAGGATCACCTTAAGAATGGCAAAATAGAAAAAAAAAAAACCTAATTCAAAAAACTGGGGAGTTGGCCATTTCAGATTCAAAGGAAGATGGTACTTTACAAGTGAATAAAAATTCTCCGCTTTCATTGAAGGAATCAACTGAAGGAATTCCTCCATTAGGACCTAGTCTCCGCTTATCTCATCCGGACGAGCCCTGCCCCCTATCCACAGGCATCAAAGGAAAAGGCTTCCAGGCCTTATCCTAGAGTGAAGGAGAAGCCATGCTTCCTCTTCAAGCTGTGGGGGTAGGAGAGTTTGGTATACAGATTGGTTATAAGCCTTTATCTCTTGGAGAACTCAAGGAAATAAAGAATGATTTGGGCAGTTACACCGACAATCCTGATCAATATGTACAAACTTTTGAGTGACTCCAGTCAGTATATGACCTAGCTTGGAAGGATGTAACGTTACTATTAGAGGACACTCTGACCTCCTTAGAGAAAGAAAGGGTGCTGGAAAAAGCTCGTGAGGCTGGAAACAATTATTATGCAGCTCAAGGGAAAAGCATTAGAGACAAGGCAAACGTCCCCATTGGAGCAGAGGCAATCCCCAAAAAGAATCCCAACTGGGACCCACAAGATAAAAGACATGAGTGGGAGCGAAATCATTTCATTTATTGTATTTTAGAAGGACTAAGAAGAGCAAAAGTTAAGCCTTTAAACTATAGCCAACTCATCACTGTCCATCAGGGGGAAAATGACCTTTCTAGAATGCCTCAAGGAGACAGTTGTGAAGTTCACCAATTTAGACCCAGACACAGCGGAGGGTGGAGTGATCCTCAAGGACAAGTTCCTTGTGCAGTCTGCCCCAGATATCAGAAGATAGCTCCAAAAGCTTATGGCAGACCTTGATAAGTCCTCCTTGGACCAGTTGATCCAGGCAGCCAATGCTGTTTACTATAATCAATATTTAGAGAAGGAAAGGTGGAAGGACAGGCGCCACAGTGAGATAGATGCTGGCCGCTATGAGCGCATCCACCCCAGGGAAAAGGACCCTGCAGTGCTGCTACAACTGTGGGAAGCCAGGACATTTTCAGAGGGAGAGCCCTCCAACCACAGGCCAGGAGTTTCCTCCGGGACCATGTCCCATCTGCAAAGGGGATCATTGGAAATCGTGCTGCCCCCAGCTCCAGAGAGAGCAGGGGTCTGCTGGCCAGGACCCCCAGTGATGGGTCCCAGTGACTCCTATCTAGGCTCCCACCACCTGGGTTTGTATCTCCCTGATGGTGAGCTCTCAAAAGATCATTTTCTTGCTGGACATGGATGCTCGATTTTCTGCCTTATCCTTCTCTCCTGGGCCGAGATCCATTCAAAGTAACTGTATGAGACATCTCTGGCCATGGGCTTGTACTTGGGGATATCTCCACTTCTACCACTCTGTCCTTGTTATTCCACTGACAACCGTCCCTTCATTGGAAATGAGATATATTGGTAAAGGTCCTTGTGGGCTCAGTCGTGGGCTCAGTCTTGGCCCCTGATGTACAAGGTCATTTTCCCTCCTGGGGTAGATACTGACTCTATAGTCTAAGGTCAGCACCCCCTGTCAACCAGATTCTATAGAACCAACGTGGGACACACTGGAAGATTTAAAGCTGCTTTTCAAAAAGCACCTAACAGCTAAGTGTTTTCTATATGCTCCCCCACATCTTGTTGCAGCCCTAACTAAGACATTATCTTGCAGGCTTATAGAATCAGGCCCGTTGTTGAGCAGGCTTATCAACCTAAGGTCATCAGACAAAAGCCTAGGTCTAGCACAGCGCAGGGAACAGAAGCGGATTTTTCACTCCTGGACACAAGCCATTCTGATGGAGATATCCCAAAGGCGTGGAAGACTGATCCAGTGTGAGTCAAGTGTGCTGATCTCACCTTCGTCTCCTTCCTCCGTGGCCTTCAGTGCACACCTGGATGCCACAGGCTAGTCATAGGTATCCTCATTTCAGCACTCCCAACAAGTGTTATTCTGATGAGTGTGTCCAAGTGCAAAACCAGGACATACTTGAACTAGCTGGAGTCCCAGAACTAGCATGGTGCAGGAAATGGGAGGCTGAACAGAGATATTTCTGTCTCTGCCACCTTAGAAACTGGGAGACCTTTGAGGACCAGAACCTGCTATACCACAGCCTGCCTGCCTGCTTTGAGCTTTTGAATGGAGAAAATTAGCCTATGGGTCCTCTTTGCATCCGTGTTGGCTCCTGCTCTACATAGAGCACGCAACTGGCTTCTCAATTGTCTTATGTTTGTTTCCTGATTAGGGGTCTTTAGACTAAAGGTGGTCTTGAACATGCAAACTTGTATGACAACTAGACCAACTTCTGTCATGGCAACTTGGATTACCTAGACCATCTCTCTGGATCCCACACCTCCAGGGGCCCCTTACCCAAACGTCGCCCCAATTCAGCAGGAAGCAGCCAAAAGACATCATTGTCCCTTACCCCTACAGAAATAGGGTGTGGGATTTCAAGAGGGGGGTGGTCTGAGACCATCCAGGCCTGCTGAGGTCTTGGCCACACCTTCAGGTGGGCGGCACCAGCATTGCCCACCCATTGCCTAATCAATTAAGAGACCACCAATGGGGAACATCTCACCTGTAGGTTCTCTGCCCAACAAGGAGGGGTCAAGGAAGGCTTAAAATCCTAAGACCCTTCCTCAAACCTTGGGTGTCTCCCTCCCCTTTCCAGAGGCACCCCCTCCTGGCCTCCTTTCCTGAGGCGCTTTCCCCTTCCCTCCCTTCGCTGCTCCCCTGGTCCCTTCGCAAATAAACTTTTCTGTCTGCAACAGATTCCAGGCTTTTTATTTCTAACTAAGCTGAGGAAAAAACCCACCGGGCGTTTCTGGTTATACATCTTTTAATAAAAATGTTGCAGTAGCATCCCGCCCATTCTCATTAATGCAGCTGCAGCTGTACCTTTGTGTTTCGTGTCAGGCGTGTGCCTTGCCTGCTGCGGCACAGGTCACCCTCCTGAACAGCTTGTGAAGAAACAGGGTTTTCCTGCCAATGGGAAGATTGGCAGTTGACAATTTCAGTCAATTAAGCAGGCTATGAAAGGTGACGGTGTTGATAGAGACCCAGGGAGTAGGGGTTTGGAACAGGAATCCTGGGTGGCCAGGAACGCTTCCGCGACCATAAGCAAGGGTCTGAGTGCTAAGCTGGCCGTGCCCAGGGCCCTCCCTGAAGCAAGAGGAAGGCCAGGACGCCCGACTAGTACCAGAGAGCAGGTGAAGTCTGTGGCTTCTGTAGGCCTCGAAGAGTTCCCATGTAGTTTAGCAAATTTGTCATCACCAGAGTATCTATTGGAACAAAGTTCAGTGAGGTAGTGATGAGGGAATATTGTAATAACTTCCTTTTATGCACTGTAAAATAATCATTAGCCATTCATTACAATAATCTTAGCAAGATATTTTTGAAAGAATTATTTACTGGAAAGGCAGAGCGATAGGGAGAGACAGGGAAAGCTGTGCCTGCCCTGGTTGGCTCTCCAGTGCCACAGGAACTGAGCCAGGCCCAGCCAGGAGCCAGCAGGCAGCTCCATCTGGCTTTGTCCTGAGGGTGATGTGGGGCCAAGTATTGGGACCGCCTTCCTCTGCTTCTCCAGGTGCGCCAGCAGGGCATGGATGGGACAAGCACAGCAGTGGGGACTCCACATTGTCCTGATAAAAGAAGTCAGCATTGAAGGCTGCAGATTTTCACAATGCAGGCCCCATCAGCAATTTCATTTGGTAATTGGACTTGGAAATGTCAGCTCCTACTATGTGGATGCTAGAATCACACACCAAGGTAACACAGCATCAGAGGCTGGTTGCTCAGGAGCGCCACGGCAGCAGGTGGAAGAAGGCTGAAGGCCAAAAGGCTGTTTGCTGGCATGAGGCCTGGGAGTGTGCAGGACCTTCAGAGTCCACCAACTACCTTTCCTTCCTGTTTGACCTCAGAGATGGTCTTTGTTATCTCATTCACATCTTTGTGACATGGATGGTAAATTTGAGAGGAGCCGAGAGCTCCATTGAGCCCCTGGAATATAAGCTTTGCCTGTTGGCTATAGTTAAAAAAAAAAAATCTTCCAGTAGGCTTCCCATGTCCAGGAAAAACCTAACACATTACTGAGAAAATAAAACTTACTATACAATGTATTAAGACAAACATGTTGTGTAATGGAATCGTGTGAGTGCTGTTAGGTTAGCTTACTTAATCATTGGCTTTAAATCATGATTGAACTTTGGGGCTAGGCTGATGTTCCACCTGTAGCACTGGCATCCCCATCCGGGTGCCAGTTGGAGTCCTGCCTGCCCCACATTCCCAGCTCCCTTGGAATGACCTGGGAAATCATTGGAGGAAGAACCCAAGACCTTGTGCCAGTGCACCCACGTGGGAGACCTGGAGAAGCTCTGGCTTTAAGGCATTACGGGAGTAGTGACGCAAGAGATGGAAGATCTGTTTCTGTGTCTTTCCAATCTTTTAAGCAAAATTAAGTAATCTTTTTAAAAATTTTACTTTTATTGGAAAATCAAATTTAGAGAGAGGAGAAACAGAGATCTTCCATCTGCTGGTTCACTCCCTAAGTGGCTGCAATGGCTGAAGCTGAGCTGATCTCAAGAGCTTCTTCCGGGTCTGCCATAAAGGTTCAGGGTCCCAAGGCTTTGCGCCACCCTCAACTGCCCTCCCAGGCCACAAGCAGGGAGCTGGAAGGGAAGTGGGACAGCCAGGACACAAACTGGCACCCATATGAAAAACCAGTGAGTGCAAGGCCGCTGTCCCAGGCCGTTTCATCAAATTCTTGTTGCAGCCTTGCCACATGCATGATGTTGTGGCTCTATGGAAACGACTGTGTCCTACTGTTTTTATGTTTGTCATCTGTGGCCTTGCTAGCTATATAATACATGTAACAGATAGTAAATAATTTGTAAATAATAAGGAAGTGTTAAGTGTTTAAAGGGAAAGTGTTAAGATGTTTAAATAAACAACGGGACACTGAATGAATCAGATATATTTAATATTTGGTTAGAATGTTAAGAGTTCCTTCTATATTTCAGGACATTAAGGTCCTCAGAACTTAGATGCTTGCACAAGCAATCCACCTGCCCAATTAACTGTAAACCACACATCCTCACTCCTGCCCTTCGTGCTGCTGCCCTGCTTAGCATCTGACTTTTATATAGATTTCAAGGTCCAAGCTAAGGGCCACCTTGCCCCTCTAGGCAGGATTACTGCCCTCTCAATTGCACTTTGCCATTATCAACATTTAAGTACTGGAAGGTAGATCCTCTTGGAAGCATTTAGCTCACAAAGGCTTGAACACTACGATGGTTATTTGAGTTTTTTAAGATTTATTTTTATTGGAAAGGCAGATTTACAGAGGACGCAAAGATCTTCTGATGGTTCACTCCCCAAGTGGCTGCAATGGCTAGAGCTGGACCGTTCCAAAGCCAGGAGCCTAGAGCCTCTTATGGGTCTCCCACATGGATGCAGGGTCCCCAGACTTTGGGCCATCTTCTAGTGCTTTCTCAGGCCACAAGCGCTGAGCTGGATGGGAAGCAGAGCAGCTGGGACACAAACAGTGCTCCTGTGCAATCCTGTCAAGGATTTAGCCACTGACCCATCACACCTGGCCCCGTGATGGTTAATTTTGTATGTCAAGTTTTGGGGGGATATTTCTGAGAATATGCTTTTGACAGTGAACCTAGGGGCAGTCTAAGTAGGTTGTCCACCATATATGATACGGGACCTTCATTTGATCAAAGGCCCTAATACAGAAAACCAACAGCCTCCTCTTCTAAGAGAAATTCCGGCAGTCTGCCTTATAACCTGGAACTGCACCATTATCAGTTCTTCCTTGCTCACACTTCACATTGCTGGAGAATCCTAGTACAGACACCTGCTGTGATTACATAAAACAATGTTCCTCGTGTCCCGATGGTCTTGCTTAGCAGCCCCCGAATGTTTCAGGTTTGTACTTACGAGGCCTCATCTGCCACTGAGCGCCAGCTGTGGTCAGGCAACATTCCCATCACTGAGCAGCCCACACCCACTGACCCTCCTAAACTCTGTGTGCAAGCAGAGCCCCTTCCAAGGGCTTCTTTCCTGGAGTACCTTCCCGATCCGGGTGATTTAAGTTCTCTTTAACATCCTCTTAACAACTAATATCAGTCAAATTAATGGTATCTCCTGGCAGGACCCTAAATAATGAGTATTCATTGTTGTATTTCTGATGTTTTAGCTTGAACTTTCTTGGAAGTTTTCTATTGCTGCCAAGGTTTATTTGAAAGGCAGTTGAGAGACACAGCTCTTCCCACCTGGTGTTTTACCTTCCAAGCAGCTGCACTGGCCAGGCTGGGCAGGCCGAAGCCAGGAACTCAGAGCTCCAGCGGGGTCTCCAACTCGGGCAGCAGGTGTCCAACCCCTCGGACCATCTGCTGCCACTTTCCTAGGTGTATTAATAACAAATCAACTTAAGCTTTTTTGGAAATTATTTCTAATAAAGATTCATAATCGGCATAGTCTTTCAATGACTGTATCAGTTCATCCAGTTGATCATCTCCTTGCATGAAAGTTTCAAGATTATGTATTGATTTGTTTATTCTATGATCTGTGACTCGATTTTGTGGAAAATTGTATGTTCTTATTTTCTCTGATCTTCCTTTAGTTCCAACCTATTCAGACAAAAACAGACGGGAGATGCAGTTAGAATCAAGGTAACAAGCTTGTAAGGTTAACTAATTTAAAAATTAAAGCCTTCACTTACAGCGCAAGTCTTTACGCTAGAATCATGTTTTAAACATTCTGAGTCCTCCAACAATATGACAACATGATACAGAAAAAAATATGGGCCTTTAAATCAGATTTACATATGAATTCTGTCTTTTGCCAACTTGCTCTACTGTAAACTCTCCCCATCTGTAAGATACAGATAATATTAGAGTGAGGGTACATGCGCAGTGCCCGGCAAGCAGCTGAAATGTACCCTTCAGTGCTGCGAAATACTATCGTCAATGAGTGGTGACAAGGTGGTGAATTTTCCTTAATGAGGAATTCCTAAAAGGGCTCTACAGTTAGTTCAGCAGAAACCAGGAGGAAAGTCTCACAGAATTTGAAAATATTAAAACTGAATGGGGGAATGAGAACATCTTTTGTAGTAACTGCAGTAAAATATGGGGGGAAAAAAAGACTCTCTGAATACAGAAAATAGGTCAGACCTGTAAGACAAGCAATACTCTTGGTTGAGCTACTTTTCTTGTTTCATTATTCCAACACACAACAATTGAATTATCTAACAATATTTTTAACCCTACAAGCATTTTAAAAATTAATATCCTTTCTTTCTTTAAGAGGCAGTCACCCCCGGCAGTGCGCAGGGCCACGGCCGACCCAGAGGCTGGGGCCTGTCGGGGGCAGCACTCGTACCTGGATCTTGCGGGCGCTGTAGCGTTTACTCGTCTCTTCTTCTAGACGCGCACTGTAGAGCTTCGCACGCAACTTTTTCATGGCCATCTCTCTGTTTTTCAGTTGAGATCTCTCTTGCTGGCATTCAGAAACAATACCTGAATATTGTTGAGAATTAAAGAATTTTAATAGAAAAATCTTCTTTCTTTATTAAGGAATACTTCTTTTCCATCTCATCCTTTTTCTTCTTCCTTTATGAAGAAAGAAAAAGAAAACGCTAACCTAAAAGGAACACTATAAATAGCAACTTACAGTTTATTGAAAACTGGAGTTTAAGCTATGGCACGGCTTTGCACACTGAAGCCATACACACTGAAGAATACACTGAGTAACTATACGTAGAAACTAAGGTACAGAAAACTTAAAAATCCTTAAGATTTCCACTTTTCCTCCATTCTTGTTTAAAATTCCATCACGTAAACACCTTAAAACTTAAAAAATATAATTTTTCCAAACTATAAAACCATATATTTACTCATTTTTATTTCAAAGGCAGATTTACAGAGAGATTAAGAGAGAGAGATCTTCCATCTTCTGGCTCACACACCAAATGGCCACAGAGCTGACATCAGGAGCAAGAGCTTCCTCTAGACCTCGCACGTGGGCGCAGAGCCCCACGGACTCAGGCCATTTCCCACTGCCTTCCCAGGCACACCGACAGCGAGGCTCATCGCAAGTCGAACAGCGAGCACTCAAACCAGCATCCATATGGGATGCACCAGCACAGTACAGACTTAACAAGATATACCTTGGAAGGGACCCCATGTTTCCATATTTAAGACAACAAAAACCATGTCAATCGCCACTCCCACCACTGATAGTTAATAGCGATTAGACCTACTTAAGCTGGTGACAGCCAAAGATCCTGTGTTCTTTCTGACAACCAAGGACTGCCATGAATGTGCTATTTCATTATTTGATTTTTAAAAATTTATTTTACTCAAGAATTAAAGACAGAGAGTGCTTCCAGCCACTAGTTCACTCCCCTAATGGCTGCAACTGCCAGAGCCAAGCCAGTCTGAAGCTGGCAGCCAGAAGATTCTTCATTCACTGATTCACTCCCCACGCAACCACAATGGACAGAGCTGAGTCGATCTGAGGCCAGGAGCCAGGAACCTCTTGTGGGTCTCCCACTTGGGTGCAGGGTCCCAAGACTTTGGGCTATCCTCAACTGCTTTCCTAGGCCACAGGCAGGAAGCTAGATTGGAAGTGGAGCAGCTGGCATACAAATTGGTGTCCATATGGGATCCTGGTGCATGCAAGGTGAGGATTGCACCTGGCCCAGAGAGCAAATTCTTAAAAAGTAAAAATAAAAATAAAAAGGCTAATTCTTTCCCTTTCCTTTTTTCCTAAATAGTCCATGTTTTCCTTTTCTCCCAAAAAGCTAAGAGCCAGTGTGCATTCTTGACTAAAAACAAGACAACTGCACTGCTTACTAACAGGTTGCCTTCAAGGACTAACTCCACACCTTCTCTTAAGGTCACTCTGGGAAATTTCCTTGGGCTTGCATCCTTCCCTCTTCCTGGCTTTGCAATTGCCAAGGGAAAACCAGTAAGAATTCCAAACTTTGAGCCCAGAGCAATGGCTCAATAACTAAATAACTTTCCAAGAACCAGGATACCATATGAGTGCCAGTTCATGTTCTGGCTGCTCTACTTCCGATCCAGCTCTCTGCCTGTGGCCCGGGAAAGCAGTCGAGGATGGCTCAAAGCCTTGGGACCCTGTACCCACATAAGAGACCTGGAAGAAGCTCCTGGCTCCAGGATTTGGATTGGCTCAGCTCCGGCCACTGCGGCCATTTGGGGATTGAACTAACAGACAGAAGATCTTCTCCTCTCTGTATATATGATCTGCCTTTTCAGTAAAAATAAAATCTTAAAAAAAAATCCAAACTTTAGACCAAGTGCTTCACAATAAATCGTAACAGTGTGGTATAAAGGAGCAATCTCCCTGGAACACCATTCAAGTCATTCACAAACTTCTCTTCAGTGTCTGAAGTGGAACCACAGTGGGGCCCACCTGTAGGAAGATGAACTATTCGCACGGCACTGTCGGTGGTATTCACGTGCTGGCCCCCAGCGCCGCTGGCTCGCTTTGTATCGATTCTTAAATCTTTAGGATTGATGACCAGGTTAATCTATACGTAACAAGAAAAGCTGAGATTTTTAAAAATTACATATACCAACTTTATAAAGGCAAGAACTAATTTAATTATAAATTATAATTCTTTGTCAGAATTCATGTAGGATCTAGATGGCTTAATTTTAAGAACAAAAAAGAAAGCTATGTTGGCATAACTAGAAGATGGGTTTATGCTGTTAAATTTCTACCATGATCAGAGGTAGAATTAAGCAAATGGAGACACAAAGGCAAGAGGTCAAAGGTACAAACTTGATTTGTGAATACACTGGGCTGGGCCCCAACTTTAAGATGACACTCTCCCCTGGCAATCCCCCCCGGAAGCAGTAGACTTAGGAACAGACATCTGCCCAAGCAGGTCAGACACTGGCACACTGGCAATGCACACTAGAGCCTCAGTGTGCAGGTGTCTGAGGAGTGAAACACAGGGCACCTGTCTGTGTCTCTACTTGCAAACAAAACAAACACAAGTAAGATTCTAACAAGTATTAGGTATAAAAAGGGTTTCATGAACAACCATGGACCACTCTGACCCCTCTACTAGCCTGGGAGTAAAAGTCACCATTCCCTCGGCCTTTCTTGACTTGTCACATGACATCCTCCTGCAGCCATCTGAAGAATTAAATGATGCAAGGATTCAGTCTCCCATCTTTTACTAAAAACTCCGATCTCCAACGATGCCTAAACCAAGTGCCCGTAACTAGGATGGCTTCTGCTGTTTATTCCACTTCACTCTCTCATGTAACTGGTTTGGCTTCAAAGGAAAATTACAGAAAAGGCCTCCATTAACTCAATTATACAGTCAAACAGTACTGTCTCCCAAAACTTAATAGAAACTCCTCAAATCAGTCATACTTCACTATGGAAACCAAGAAGGATTTCCTATCATTTTTCAGAGGGCAAACTAAGCAAAACAAAACTTTTCAGACTTATTTGTTTATCTGAAAGTTCAGCAACAGACAGGAACATGCAGGGAGAGAGAAATCTTCCATCTGCTACACACTTCACAGATGAGCACATCAGCCAGGTTGAGGCCAGGCCAGAACCAGGATCCAGCAGCTCCACCAGTGTCCCGTGGGTGACAGGAGTCAAGTGACGGGGCCTAGTTCCCTGCCTGCGCAGGTGCAACAGCAGGGAGTTGGCTTCAAAGCAGAGTAACTCACATGTGATGCTGGCAAGTGACAAGTGGCAGCCTAACCCCCATGGCAGCCCCAAGAGAACTTCCAAACAAAGTTACGATATAAATGTAGATCAAACCTGCTTTCTGAGAATAAGTAACACAGGAATGCCATAAAAGTACGTATGCATTCTAACGTGACTGAGTTATGAAGCAGCAGCTGCTTTACAGTTGTTCAAACAGTTTTGGCTTTAATAGATGGCGAACCTGTCACATCAAGCCAAGTCCCCATAAAATAAACCAGTCCTTATTGAAATGGGTTAATATTTCACCAGATGGTCTTACAATGTCTATGTTAGTGGTACAGAAAAACTAGTACACAGATAATGCAAAACTGGGTTAGTTTTAAACCCTCCATTATTGCCATCTATTATAAACTTGTACTTTTAGAACAGGGCAGGTTCTCAAAGGCAGTTCAGAATCTGTGAGGAAGACCAAGTACAAAATGAGATACTCGATTTAGTGACCTCTGAGTGTCACTGTAGGTCAGAGTGCAGTCGTAAGGCGGGCCGTGCCTCACCTCGGTGGGCTGGGGCAGAATGGCCACGGTCATCGTGCTGGTGTGGATGCGGCCCTGCCTCTCTGTCTTGGGAACCCTCTGTACTCGGTGAACCCCTCCTTCGTACTTCAGGTGCCTGTAGGCCTCTGGGCCTCCGATGCTGGCGGACGCGTGTCTAAGGCCTCCTGGAAAATACCAGAATTGAATCCTTTCACTGTCCTTCCAATTTATAAACATCTGACCACCATATCTACTATCTTCCAAGTATTTTCTAAAAATCCTAAAATAATACTTAAAAACTTCAATAGTGCTATGACATTCAGTGTTTTTATTAACTTGCAATGACTTAAACTAAAAGTTATTCTGCTAATGAAATGACACTAGTAACATCTAACAGATCACTTTTAAAGACCATCAGTCATGTGATTAGCCTGCTAAATTACTATCTGTTACATTTTCTTGGCTTACATTTTATTAATTTTCATTTGAAAGTTAGAGTTACACAGGAAACAGGCAAGGTTCACTCCCCAAATGCCCACGACGCCAAAGCTGGGCAGATCTGATGCTGGGAGCCAGGAGCCTCCCTCGGCTCTCCCACATGGTATAGGTGCCCAAGGACAAAAGCCATCCTCCACTGCTCTCCCAGGCCACAAGTAGGGAGCCGGATGGGAACGACAGCAGCCAGGTCTCGAACCAGTGCCCATATGGGATGCAGTGAGGCAGGCTGAAGCCACAGCATCGGACTATCCATCACCATTAAAAGCTGTTTCACAATTGACATATTTGGGACACTTAAAACTATTAAGTAAATGATGGGCATAAAAATCCTTAAGCATCCTTACAAGTCCGGCCGTAAATAAAGCCTACCCATGATCTTACATGTTCCTTTCCTAGGACACGGGTAAAAATGGTCCACACTTTATCAAAGCAAAGCGAACAGTTTACTGACCTATTTCACTTGGGAAATAGTCGAGGGTTTCAAAATGCCATCTTTTAAACGCCGCGTACTTCTGATACATATCAAACATCTCTGAAGTAAACAACATTGCTTCCTGACCCCCAACTCCTGCAGTTACTTCCAGGATCAAGTCATTTTCATCTGCTTCTTCGGAGGGAACCAAAAGCACAATGATCTGTAAAGAGAAACACATCCCTTCTCTGTGACTGAGAACTTTCCAAAAAGAAGCTAAGTGATTCCATACAGAACTCTCAAAGTTTTCTAAGCAAATAACCTTGCCGACAGCTGTTCACCTGCTTGCCAATTAGAACCGTATTCTATATGTCTTCAAGAAACTGTTAATCTTACACTACATTATAAAGGAAGTAATATTCAGCTAAAATTTACAGGCTTGTTTTTCTTTTTCCTTGCAATCACTGTGTGTTTGCTAGCAGCTCACTGTCCAGTTAGTAAGCACGAAGTGCTTGCGGATACTAGTATATTTGTGTACAGAGCACAGAAGACTCAACTCTCTCCTCCCCAAGTTTAAGGCCCAGCATGGCGAAAACAGGAAAGCCTCAAATTCCATTGTATTTGATAAGCTTGATTAAACAGAAGAAAATGTTGGTTTGGGAACCTGAAAGGACCGTATGGATGATCTGGTCCAATTCTCTCACTTCACATGTAAAGTTAATTCCAGTTGAGAGCTTGAACGGCTTGCTAAGCTGTTACTGGAAGGGCTGGCGTCACAATGCCCCAGGCCAGTGTTCTTCCCATCACGACACCACACGTCACACTCAAGCACACACTATTAGGGGCCGGCAACATGGCACGCTGGGCTAAGCTTCTGTCTGTGGTATCAGGATCCCAGATGGGTGCCGGCTTGTGCCCCGGCTGCTCCACTTGTCCTTTCAGCTCCCTGCCTGTGGCCTGGGAAAGCAGCAGAGGATGGCTCCAAGCCTTGGGCCCCTGGTCCCACATGTGAGACTGGGAGGACATTCCAGGTCCAGGTTTTTGGCTTTGAGTCAGCTTAGATCTGGCTGTTGCAGTAACTCAGAGTGAACCATGGATGTAAGAGAAATCCTGTCTCGTCTTTACCCTCCTCTCTATAGCTCTGCCTTGCAAAGAAAAGCAAAATAGATCTTACAAAACAAGCATGTACCATTAAGGGACTCTGGGATAAAAACTTGCGATTAGGTCCACCAGTTCCAGCTACCAACACATACCAGTTTGTCAGTATAAGCAGGATATCCCGCTGAGCAGTCCATTTCAGCTCTGTACTTGATCTTGGCCAAAAGGCCGAGAAGTGATCCATTTCAATTCTTAACTCTGGGAAGTGCTGCTAACCCACGGCTAACAGTTCCATCTTATGGTGTCAGATGAAATTTGGGCAGTAAACCAGCAGATGGAAGAACTACTTCACCTTCTCTCTGTAAGTCTGCCTTGCAAATAAAAAAGTAACTAAATCTTAAAAAAAAAGTTACAATTTATGTCAGTTCTATTTCAATAAAGCTGGAAAAAAAGTTTACTCTAAACAGTGCTGATCTAGTTGCTTCTGGGCCGGCTTTCACACAGCGAAGGCCGCGGGAGGAGGCTCTGTCTGCAGGTACCGTACCTGCTGCTTGAGCTGCAGTATTTCTTTTTGACACAAAGTTATCTCATTCTCGGCAAGTTTCCTTAAGTCTTCATTCTCATCTGAGGGGAAAAGGCAACAATCAATGCTTCCATGAACTGCCAGGATTTCAGAGGAACAGCTGTACTGCCGGTGTCACTACTGGGGAATTAAACTGCCTTTAATAGCCATTCATTAAAATTAGCACTGTATACATTAGTTTCCACAAGCACTTAGAATGTATGAGTGAAACTAAAGCAAATCTGCAGGAAAATTTAAAGAACCTGGTTAAACTTCTTTATAATTTATAATGTTTTCATTGTTTCAGCAAGCCCTTAGTGTTAAGTGGGTATTTACCTAAAATATTAGATTTCATATACTGGTTACACAATATTGTTATAAAGTATACCCACCCCGACCACGGCTTTACCCCTACGACTGCTTTGTTTTGAATTCTCAGTGTAAACTTACAAAATACACTTCTTCATTTCTCTACCTAAGGCAATGTGCATACAGAAATACAGAAAGGCTGTATCAGTCCCAGCATCAGACTCGGAAACACCTAGTTTCATGTCTGTGAGTAAAGGCTGGTGGCGACTGGCAGCCCAGCTCGGGAGCTCCGGCGTGGCGAGTCACGGGCAGCTCCGGCGTGGTGAGCCTCGGGCAGCTCCAATGTGGCGAGCCTTGGGCAGCCCCGGCGTGGCGAGTCACGGGCAGCGATGCCATTCTATCTTTGTTTCCTTACAGACTGTCTACCAACATGAGGACTACCCACCCACTCCCTGCCTATTCTGTCCTCATACCTTCTTCCTCCAAATATTTATGGTTTCTCTATTCAAAAAAGCCTTTCCACTCCTTGATGTAACTGTTGCCATCCTTTCTCCCACCCAAATTTACAGAGATAAAATACCTTCTTTATCATTTCTATTAACTGTAAAATTCTGAACTTGTAACTGAATTTCATGATCTATTAGAATGCTTTTATTATTGAAACAGTTGTTGACAACGCTGCTGAAGCCAAGCACCTCTTTCACTGGGTGCTGAAAAGATGCCCTCTCCGCTTCTGCAGAGCCAGGGGCTCCCAAGGGCTCAGTGCCCACTGCTCAATGCCCTCCGCGGCGGCACTCATCGGCCTGGCTTGCCACTTGAAGCCGCCCACCAATGCCTGGGCTCACAGCTCTCTCCTCTGCTATCCCTCAAGCCTTTCAGCCTTGCCAGTCATGTCTGGCTGGATCTAGCAATATTCCGCAAGTCTTCTCATCTATTTCCGAGGGTTTCACTTAGCAGGTATTCGTGCTGTCATGACTTAACTTATCTCCAATGTCAGTGGGGTTTTCTTCCTAGACAAGTATAGAGATCTTCATCAGAACACCACTCTGACATGGACTTTTAATTCAGCTGTTCAACACAAAGCTCCTCCCTTCCCCTCCCCTTTTTCTGAGTGAGGTGGCTTTATAGCAGGTGCCAGAGCTGTAGGGGTCCCTAGGAGCTGGCATTGGGGCCGTTCTCACCAAAGGTGGGTACCATGTTGACAAAGAGTCCGCTGTACTGCATCTGCACCTGGCATGGCCCGTCTTCTGCCTGGCCACCTTGGGAGTTGACCTTGTGCCTTCGCCAACGGGGGCCAGAGACCCCAGAACCACTCCCCAGCACGCTCAGTGCCTGCACCCACATGGGGTCAGGACGGCCTCACCCCCAAGGGCATGCCATGAGCACCTGGTCCTCCAGGGCGATGCCCTCCAGGGAGGCCACAGATGCCTTGATCTGGGTGACCATGTCCTGACCAGTCACCTCGAGGCTGTGGACCAACAGCTGCACGTCTGACCGGCGACACCTCCTCTCCATGCCACTAAGATGCGCAGAGCTCCTCTTCATGGTAAATGTCACCATCTCTGTCGTTCATGTGTGGAAGCCAGAAGCCTCGGGGCTCTCCTGGACTTCAGACCCTTCATCCGTCCCAGGACACATACATCCCACGTGCTGTTCCTCAGGTCTCCGCTTACTGCCCCCTCTCCTCCGTGGGGACCCACACTCTCCGCACTGGCCTCTCGGCCAGCAGGCGCTCCGGAGAACACCCCAATTCATCCTCAGCAATGACCCCCACAGGAAGTTTTCTTCAAAAAGGATGTCACTTCTCTGTTCCAAGCATGCCCACTTCCCACTACCTATAACAATAAACGCAAATTCTTGGTCTTGTTAGGCCCGAGGCTTTCCTCGACCCCATCAGCTCCCACAGCTGTTTGGTGCTCCTGCACAGCTGGCTTCCTTTTCTCCCGCCTCTGTCAACGGCTTCGGAACCTCCTGGCAATCCCCTGCCTCCCTTTCCAGGCCCACATCAATGCCAGTTTTTGCTGCCAACACTATGCACTTTATGGAACACACTTAAGTAAATTCATTCACTTATACGTTTATAGAACTTCTTAAAAACTTCTCACCAGGCTGCAACTTCTGACAAGCAGTTCTATATATATATATAAATACACACACCTTATAATTTATGCCACATATGTGTGTATACATATATATACCTTATAATTTATACTTCTCATAATACATATACAATAGTATGTGTGTATACACACATACTTTTGATAATTATTATGGTATGAGATGCAGTTAAGAACCCAAGATTTGCTGAGTGACACTGTCCATTGCTTTTGAATGGAGTTGCATATTGTTGGCAACAATTTTCCCACACCTTAACCTTTAAATCCATCTGGCATGCGTGCCGGCTTAAGCCACACCACAAATGCAATTTCCCCCACCCCTCCCCAGAACTTCTCCAGGCGTGCACCTGTTCTCTTCCAGCGTGTAACTTACACGCTCCTTAACGAAGTGCCGGGCCTTCTCCCTTCAATGTCCCAATCCCGGGCTGACACCTGCCCTGCCCGAGAGCGACCTTCCCGGCTCACAAAATTCTGTGGCTCGGTCCCGTTTGCAATTGCCACCCTTACCAAACGGTTCCGACGGCTCACCCCACACTCCCCACTTTAGCCTTACCCCCCAGACCCAAGCCCCTCACCGCGCAGCAGGGCCTCGGTCTCCCGCAGCTCCCGCTCCTTGGCGCTTAGCAGCCGGGCGACCGCCGCTACCTGCGGCCTACCACCCAGCCCCGGGGAGCCAGCTCCGGCCTGGCGCTCCAGGAAGGACCGCAGAGGCCCGTCCGGGGCGAACAGCTCCTCCACCGCCGCGGCCCGGCCGCTGACCAGCCGGCGAGGAGGGCCCAGGGCCGGGAGGCCGCACAGACGCCGGGCAGCCGCCCACACGCAGCGGATCCGCATGGCCAGGGCGCCCTGGCCGCCGGACCGGGACGCAGCCGGAAGTCAGGCACGCCACTGCCTCGGAGACTGGCACGAGAGCTGGCCAACCACGTGCCGCTCTTCACGGGCTCCCCGAGGACGTAGGCGGGACTTCCGTGTGAGCCGGAGAGTGCTGCCTGGTGAGGGGGCGGGGTCCAGGGGCCGGGGCGGGGCCTAGGTCTGCTGGGGCGGGGTCTGGGGCTGCCGGGGCGGGACCTAGAAGGGCGGGGCGGGGCTGGGTGTGTGGCCTGAGGCCAGGGCCGCCTGCCACCTGCCACCTGCCACCTGCTGCCACCACCTCTGGGCCGAGAGGCTACCAGGCCCGCGAGGCGTGTTCCGCTGCAAGGGGGAGATGACACTGTTTGCTGACGGTGGGAATCTGTTCCTAAACACGGAGTGTGTGTGGGCAGTAGAGGAGAGCCTAGGGTCCGCCACGGAGCCCAAGATCAGAGCCACGGAAGTTGTCCCCAGTGCCAGCCCGAGCGTAAGTCCCCAACGTCAGATTCTAAGGTGGTCATTCGTTTGCGGTTGTGTTTATTCCTATCCCTCTCTTCCACGGTGAGCTAGGCTTGACGTGTGTAAAGGAAGGACAGCCGCTGGGCGGTTGTTCAAAACCCCTACATCCCTGCTCTTTTACTTGCTTTCAGGCGGCCTTAGCTTGCAAAGCAGCACTCCCAGCTGCGACCTGGTAACGAGGTGGTGGTAGAATAAACCACAGCACAGCCAGACCTTCGGGAAACATGTCTCGGTAGCTCACCCCGTTACACAGAAAACCTAGAAATGCCAAGTTTACCAAGGGGATAGGTATTAATGATAGCAACTGCCACTACCCAGTGGGTTAGGAAAAACCTACTGACATTTCCTGCTAGACGGATGACACAGTGAAGGAACTAGTTTTTTTTTTTTAAAGGTAAACAATGGGAACTTCTAATCAAACATAAAGTCATGTATAAGATTCTAGCAGCAACAATTTGGATTGCTTTCATTCACCTCGTAGCAGTAAGTAACAAAGTAATAATACAAAATGACTATCCAAAGAATAACAGGCAGACAAGGTTCCCTTAACCAAAAACTCTCTCAAATTTCCAATAATTTTTTGTTATAAAAGCTATGCTGCTTTGTGAAATTGTTTTGTAACAGTTGCTGAAATGCTTTTAAATTTTAATCTAAATACAATATGCCACCAGAGCTTTTTTGCTATAAAAGTAAACAGTTGCAATCATTGGCTTCTGCATACATGGCACAGCTCAATTGTCAAGCCATGTCACCTTAAGGATATATTTTATAAAAGGTGAAAAACTAATAAACAGTCACCTGACAGTCCAGTGGAAGGAGCCCAGCCAGATTCTATTTTCCCTTAGATGCACGAGTGTTTTGAGTTCCACATGCAAGTGTGTCTTTTATCTTTATGGTTTCACACCAGGAAGGAGACAGTAACTTGTCTAAGGATACATTGATGAATTCTTTATTAAAATTCAAAAGTGTTAAGAAAGTATAATGCATATGCATTTTACAGTAACATCCGTAAGTTTCCACAACGTAGTCAAATGAAAACAACTGTAATTTGACTTACTTTGAAAACTCAAATATACTTAGTTTGAGGCATCTGAATTTTCTTACATTATTGTCATGCTCAAATTCAAATTACATGGTGAAAATTCTGGTCGTTTTTAAGGAAGTCTATTACTGTACATAGGTAAAATGATGAAACATAGTTTCTAGGAAAGATCTAGAACAACTGAGGAAAAAAAGAATTTGCACTATATTTTCAATTTATGAGTAGCTACAGTTATTCTGGCATTGCAAAATAACCAAGCACAGTGCCTCATTGGTTGTAGTCATGCATTCAGAACTTTCTTATCATCCACTAATAAATACTGGAGTCCAAAATCGGGGTTTAGATTAGGTACAATGAACATGGTAGTAAAAATTTATACACATCGAATCTGATTAACTATTACAGAATGACACAGGAATTCTTTTTTAATATTTTACAAACATCTTAAAATCATACACAAGAAATACTTTTTTATATGACAAGCAGGTTAAAGCTGGATGAGAGAATCTTTTACCTTATTCTATTATGAGGTTCATGGTTCAGTGAAAGGTATATAGAAAAGCACTAAGCAAAAACGTGATCACTCTTAATCACTTCTTAGAATGATTCATCAGACTGAGCTTTTTAACACCCAAGGTAGATGGAGGATTAAGTTAATTATCCAAGTGCCTGCGGGAAACCTGTGGCTCTCGCCTCGGGCAAGGGAATATTCAAGTCAATGCAGCTTTGAGCTTCTTCCATTTCCTCTCCAGCCAGTACATTCATTCCATTCCCATCAAATCCTTTATTACTAACCCTTTATGGTCCTTTATACTAGTGTTGAGGAATCCGCTCCATTTTTTTCCTAGCTTAGTGTCAATTCCAGTAAACCTCTTTAAAATGCATTGTGCAAGGAAGGGGTCTGACAGACACTACCTCAACCCAGCCATCAGGGTCAGAGTCAATATCAGCCGCTGCACCCTCAGCCAGCTGATCAAGTCTGCAGTTAGAAGCAGACCAAGGGTTGAGAAGCTCATAGCAAAAGGGGTCACGGTGATGGGTGAGTCTCTGAGATCATTTCCTGGGGATGACTCTTCCGCTCTGCGGTTTCACTTCTGAAAGCCCGGAGCCCACCGCCTTCTCCTGCTAAAGCGTTAGATAAATCTCAACAGAGCGATAGTCCACAAAACACCAGATCAGTAACCAAACAGGTCAAGCTCATCAAAGACAAGAGACAAGCGGCCAATGGTCAGAGCTAAACAGAACCCAAGGAGAAGTGGCAAGTTGATACTGCATGGGATCCTGGAATAGAAAAAGGACATTAACAGGAAAAGGAAATGGTGACTAATGTCCCATATTATCTGGCACATCTCTGAAAAGTGTTATAGTTTTTTTGTATATCTAAAATGATCAATAAAAGATCTGATGGAAATGCTATGAACACATAAATATTATCTTTTAGTATTCCTTTTCTGTACATATTCTCATGATAAGATCGTTAGAGAAATGATGCTACTCTAATGTAAAGGAGACTGTTTTTCTAAAGGTTCAGTATTACTTAGTTTTAACTCTATCACCGGTTATATGTTTGGTAAGTGACTTGATATGTATATTACTCCTGTAGTTATTTCATTTTCCTTCCTTTGGAAGGATAAAATTTTCAACTAATTTCTTTTATTGAAATGTTACTTTTTAACACATTTGTGTTTATAAAAAAAAAAACATATATATCATATAGTCAATGCCGAACCCATAAATACGTGTGTATGAGACCAACAGCAGAGGAAATATTTCTAGATTTCAGATAGGGTAGGATTCTGATGAACTGAAAGTAGTGGTTTAAATACTTTATGAAAGTTTTAATAATGATGCAGTCCACCCTTTTAAAATAAGCCTGGTGACATTTTTTGGATGAATAATTGATAGGAGTTTTAGCTAGACTTAAAATGTAGTGGGAAAGTGGGCATGAGAAAACAAACTTCAGATAGATTACCTAAGTCACATGAAACAGAAATGTAACTTTATAGCAGATTCTTAATCCTGATTTCCCAGTATGTTTTTCTTTTTTACTATACTCTGTATGGGAATCTGTTGACATTCATTGCCAATCATAACAGCTACATGTGCGTTATTTTAACACAGCAACAAGAGCTGGATATTTAGAAAGGAAATGTGTTTAAGCAGAGGACAGAAACATAAGCTGCTTAACTATTACTCTAAAAAACTTACTTGTTAATTCTTTAAATGTCAGAATGCTATCATTACAGGTCTGATTAAGTCAATAGTTATAAAACTCCACAATTTCTGAAGCAAGAGTTGTAAGGTGACAAGCATGACTTTCAAGTTGAGCATATGAAATACTGAAAAAATATTTGGTTACTCTCATTAGTTTTTTTTTTTTTTTTTACTCTCATTAGTTCCTAACAGTATTCCTATCTCTACTTCTGTTAGAATTTTTGATACAGGAATAAAATCAGGCCACAGACTGGGAGCAGTTAGCCATTAGGGCCGTACGTTGTCTTCCATAATGTTGTCCTTGGAGTCACAATCTTGAGTATCTTCTTTTATAATGTCACTTCAGATAACAGAAGAGACTGCAGAGGACCATATCTCTAAGAGTAATTCTTCTAAGAATTAAAAAATATTTTTGAAGAAATTAGTCTGGAACTTAGAGACCATACTTTTATTTGTAAGCACTGTTGTGTGTTGCTTGGGTAGTGTAAGTACTGCAGAGAGAAGCTGACACTAAAGTTTGATATCACTAATATAATAATAAATATTCATCATTGTGGCAAGGGAGGGATGCTTACATTTTTATGTTTTGAATACTGTTTTCTCAGGAGGGAAAGTCCTTTACCCTGGTAAAAATGTAAAAACTGGAAAACACTCAGACGTAGAATTTGTAAAATACGCTTTGAAAATTGGGATTATAAACTGACAAATAGAAGAGAATGAAAATTTTATGGAACTATCCTTACCACTTTTTAAAAATAGTTTGCTAACACAGCAGGTTCAAAATATTAAAAATACATGTTTCACAGGGCTGTAATGACTAGCATTGTCTAAGAGTTTTTAAAAACGATTTATTTATTATTATTGGAAAGGCAGAATGGATTTTACAGAGAGAAGGAGAGATGAGAGAAAGATCTTCCATCCACGGGTTCACTCCCCAAATGACCACAACACCGGAGCTGAGCCAATCTGAAGCCAGGAGCCTGGAGCCTCTTCCTGGTCTCCCACGCAGGTACAGGGTCCCAAAGCTTTGGGCTATTCTCCACTGGTTTCACAGATCACAAACAAGGAGCTGGATGGGAAGCAGAGCAGCTTGGACACAAACCGGCATCCACTCGGGATCCCAGAGCTTGCAAGGTGAGGATTTAGCCATCAAGCCTTCATGTTGGACCCCAACTTCAAGCAATTTTACAAGGTCTTCCTAATGATTCATTTTTCAGTTTTTTGAATCTATTTTTAATGACTTTTATTTACATTTCTTTACCAAAACATCTGATATTTTCTATTTTTTACAAACAAATTTGTCACAATTACAATATGTTCAATCTTTTTCAGTGTAAATTAAATGAGTATAGAAATGAATGATTAAACTCAGATTAAGAGACAGGTATTTTTGTAAATCAGCTTAATGGGATGAAAGTGTATTTTGGCCCCTAATGTCTACAATCCTTTTACAAAACTGAGCTAGGAGGTAAATATACGACACACATTCCATTCTGTACATAAGAACCGTAGCAGCATCAAGGACATTAATACCCCATGCAGCACGAGCAAATTTCATAACTGGTCACCCTATGTACAAACCTTAGGATTTAAAGAAAGAGACCACATTTCATAGCTTCAGGATCGACACTGGGTTTTGCTCTGTTCCTATTTGCCCTGGGCCACTGTCAGCAGCACACTTCCACAGCTTGCAGCGACAGGCAAGAGAGGGCCACTGCAGTGCTGCTGGTCCATCGTCATCATGCTTGTACAAGGTCGCTCTGCAGGGACCTGCTTCTCCAACGTGTTGAATATACGTGCGCTTTACTTTCCATTACAGTTACAGACACGTTTCAGATTACAAACCACAGAAATTCTATTCAGCTCATATACCTGTGCATTAGCAGATTCTAATAGTACATGAAGATACCTTCGCTATCTAAAACCTGAAGTGCTACTTTTAAAGTGCTAATTCCCCCCCTCCCCCCGGGAGGAAGTGACTCACGAGGAAGAAAAATCAAATTCTGAAACAAGTCTTGTGCTCTTGGAATGGTGGTGTCGACCCCACTGAGGGCTTTGTTGTTTGTTTGTAATAGCTCCGTAACTGAGAGTCGTGCCATGCTTAAAAAACAGTAGAACTGCAAATACACAGACATAATCTTAGAAACTTAAATGAGAAACTTTTCCCTCCCCTGAAAATGTGAGTTCGGCAAGAAATGCTCACATCACGTGGCTACCAACATCTGTGCGTGCGAATCTGCTGTCCAGTCCTTCCCACCAACCCTCTTAACCCCGAGCGCAGCCTGGTGCACACGCCTCGAAATCTGCAGGCCACGCCTGGCCGCCTCAGAGATCAGGGCTCTTGAGAAGGGCCCCTTTCCTGTCCATTTGGTAAAATAGTAAAGGTATTGTCAAACAGACAATGAATAGTCCAGAGTATCTTATAAAGATAGCTTGCAACTAGCAGGTCACCATCATATACAGTAACAACGAGAATACAAAGCTTACATTTGAAAAAGGCTGAAGCATGCATTGTATCATTGTATACTACCCATTTTCTCGTCGTGTGCGCCACTTCATTGTGCCTCAAACACAGAAACAAGTAGGATACTACACCATACATGTGAATACATCATAGTAGCATAATAAACTCTAATCAAGAAAAAAATAAGTTAGGAACAGTCGAACTTCACAATATCAATGATGATTCTTTTAGGTTTTTCTTCACTGTTTAGGAAAAAATATGACTTTTTGTAAACATCTTCATTGCTATCTGTTTTCAACATATTACTCAAAATTTTTATTCAAATAGTTAATATCTAAGTGACATGGATAAAATATTTCTTAACACACGAACACTTTGAGAAAAAAAAACAGGCATTTGTTTAAAGAAACGGTTATTATAAATATTTTCTATCTTGCATTGTAACTACATTTTCATAAATAATGTATTTAAAAGTGCTGAATATTGTAGGATAGTCAGCAACGCCAGTGTAAACAGAATATTTTTTCTTCTCTGCAAATTGTTGTAAATCCCATTTTGTCAAACACTGCAACAGCTAAAATATTTGCATAGGGAATAGATAATAGCCCTTTAAATCTTGTGTCCTGAATTCTATATAAATTAAAAATCCTATCACTTAAAAAAAAATCTTTGAAATGTTTTAAGTTTATGGAAAAAGAAACATATGATGTTAACCTTTCAAGTAAAATAAATTTAAAAAGAAAAATTGCAAACTTGCATTTTAAAAAAACATTTAATAAATTAAAAAAATGAGAGGTAGTTAAAAAAATGACAAAGGAAACCTATAATTTTAATATCATCCTTAATATAAGGCCAGTGTTCTCGGTGGATATAAATCTTTTTAAAACTTTCACTTTTAGAATACTCAGTATTATATTCCTTCATTTTAAGATTAAAAAAATAGCATTCAGGGGATATTAATATTCAAAGTAACACTTTGATATAAATATGACAATGATTTTTGCTATTATAATTTTTGTGCATGACACAATAGTGTTTTCTTGAATGTCAGAAACACATGCCAACTTCAGGCAAGTATTTTGTCTTAGAGAGTTGGTGTAATTATAAAAATAATCTGGCAGCTAGAAGACTTGTGCACTGTGCTGCCTTTTAATTATGGATGAGAATTCATAGTTTGGTTTCAACATTTTTAAAATAAGTCATTCTTAAGATACTATGTGGAAACAGTTAAGGTCTGAAGGAGAGAATTATCTTTTTTCATTACCCTTATAAACCCTCTCTTTGTAAAATCTTAGGTTTTTTTTTTTTTATTGGCTTTCACTTTCAAGGAAAAAAGCCACGGACAGATGCCATCCATCAAAATGGTTTACAGAGCTCCATGCAGGCATTCCTTTATTAAATCCTTTTCTTTTTATTCCAAAACTAAGTTATCAAGCTTATATTTCTCTTGTTGCAGGACATGACTTTACACAACCATTTTACAACTGGAGATCCAGTCTTTAATAAATTAATTACAGTATTGGACATCTGATATATACATAGATTCATTTACTTCTATTACAATTAAAAAAACAATATCATTCTTTGATTTGTCATTGAGATAGGATATTTTCAAATTGTTTTGTGCTTTTATTCTTCTTGATTTTTTTTTTTAACATAGCAAACTCATCTTAATGAAAATGCCACCATTTTGGCAGTGATCGGCCAGCAGAGGCCTCCATAAGGAATTTCCAGCAAACAGGTAAATAGCTCTTTTTTCATTTACAGAACCATCGGCTTCAAAATTAGTGTATGGAACAACACAGTAGATAGTATGTTCAACACAATCGTTACATTGTAAAAATTGTCTATCTCAGATTATCATAAAAAATGCAAATCACAGCCAGTTTTTGGCGATTATAAGACCATATTGCACAAAAGTCCTTAGATACACAGAAAAGTTATGCGATTGGATTAAGTTTAACAACAGCTACGTGGCAAATGAAGCAGTTTTTACTTTGCACATGCAGTCTCTGGAGTTACACTAGGACACTGTTCATAGGACTACAAATACAGATTGCTTGCAAGTAGAGTGAATGTAAAACAAACTGAGTTTGGCAATTCATTGTTTTCTGTCATATTTCCTCCAAACGTAACCATGGATAGCCTTGATAAAAATGGAGACAAAGACCATAATGGTTGTATTTTCACAGTAGCCTGAGGAATACTAAACTACTTTCAGTTCCCATCCCAGCCCTCCAGAATCATCCTTATAATGAAAGTTAAGATTCAGAAGAAGAGCCGGCAGTACTTTCAACATATGACTTGTAAATCTGAGAGTTCAAGAACCTTGGGAAGGAATCTCTGTGCATTAAGGTATAAATCTGAAGTTGGGCATCTTCATACATGTGAGGACTGGGATCCAACAGATTTCTATTGATCACCTCTCTAACTCGAGAATCGAGACTGACCTAAAAAGAAATAAGAGCAGATACATTAAATCATTTTCATAAGACCTTGATTAAGTAACTGTAGGTTTGTGACATTGCAGAGAAACTAAGAGATTAAACACAACTTCAGGGCATCTGGAGGTCATCCTTTCAAGGCTGCATAAGCTTATAGCTTTCTTTTTTCCTCCAGAGGAAGTTAATCTGTTCATCCGGACATCCGGTTCACAGACAGCTTGACTTCTTTCGACTCACTTTTCTGCGCATCCACTCAGAATCTTTGGACAACTGTCAGAAACATGGCCCAGGGGCAGAGTTGTGGCGCAGTGGGTGAGGATGCCTCTGGCAATGCCTACATCGTCAGACTGCTGCTCCTAGGGCTGATCTGCTTGCACTGCGTCTTCCTGCTGCTGTGCATGGGAAAACAGCAGGGAATTTTGGCTCTACTTCCCACACAGGAGACCCAGATGGAATTCCAGGGCTTTTGTGGGCCTTTGGGGAGCAGGCCAGTGGATGCATTTCTGGCTCTTTGTCATTCTGCCTTCCAAGTTGGAAAAACAAACACAACAGATCTTGAAAAGATAAAACTGAGGTATCACAGAACTCTTGCGGCAGAATATGAATCCAGCCTCCTCCTATTCTGTTAACTCTACTGGTTACAAGGTAAGCATGCATTGGCAGAGGAGAGTTCCCTGACAAAACCTAACATACTTCTACTGGCTTCCCACAGGTTCAACTGTAGCAGAAGCAGGAAATGAAGCAAGTGCAAGGACTTGAGGAGGCAGAAATGCAACAGAGTCTGCAAGTCTTATGTCCTACTGAGACGCACCCAAAGTGCTAACAACAAAACAGAATAACTGTTTGATGTGAGAGTGGAGATAAGAAATAAAACCAACATTTGGAATGCACATTGTAACAGTCCACATGGTGTTCTTTGAGAAGTGCCCAGCAATTAAATTATAAACTGATTTGTGTCTCACTTCCCCCTCTTAGTGAATGCTAACCCTGGTGGAAATGGCACATCGTGCTGGAAAGGGAAATAAGGTCCAATAAGAGCAATGAGAGTATATTTGGGGGAAGAGCTAGAGCTCGTGTGTGTGTGTGTGTGTGTGTGTGTGTGTGTGTGTGTTTCCTTTTATCATGCTTCCCACCCACTGCTCAGGCCAAGTCTGGTGCCTGAAAACTTCATGATTGGATCGCCCATTTTCCCCCTCTAACTACCTTAGGGTCCCCAACACCACAGACTAACGGAGCTAAGCTGACTGACAAGGAATTGCTGGTACATCTGTCAGCAGAAGATGGTGACAACACTGATTTCTGCGGTTTCACTAGATTGTTCATACACAGGACATCATAACCACGTTGAGATGCACTGTATATAGTCTTTGAGAATTCTTTAATAGAGGAGAAAAAAAATGCTCTGGAAAAGGATTATGCAGTGTTTATTTTCTGTTATTGCCATATTCTGACGTCCTCATTAAGTGCAAAGTGACTCAAAATCTAGATTTTTTTTCAAGATTTTTATTTGCAAACTTTTTTTTTACTCAAGAGGAAAATGTTGCCACTGGAGTTAAACTGACTTGTATCCTGACATGCAAGGTTATGTATAGTAAGTAAAGTCGTCCCCAACACACTCAATCGTTTTTGTAAATATTGTTCTTCCTTTCCAACTTGAGAAAACCTGTCTTTCCAATGGAGAAACAAGGTAAGAGAATGATTTAGTTATTAAATAATGATATGATTATCTCATTTTCTTATTAGTAGCTATAATCGTGTTATATTAATAGATACCCAGAATTATTATTAAGCGTTGTGAACACTCATTGCAAAAGTGTTTTACTACTTTGAGATGGTAGCAAAATACAGAGTAGTAGTTTTCAACATTTAGTGATCTGTAACAAGATTACCTTTTCATTTTTCCACTTAAAAATATGATATTTATCTTAGTATCTGATGGTTTGCTTGACAAGGTTGTTGATCAAAGGAGGTCAAGTAAGGATGAACCCCATGGCTGTGAAGATGTGTCCTTTCCCCATGACATGTTTGTACAAGGCAGGGGAGCCGGACGCCAGCCCGGGCCTGAGCCACAGGCACTCCAGGATTCACAGTGTCTGGGTGGTTTGTAAATCCACCGGGTTTGAGGTCCAATGCATCCAGCAATGGGGAGTTCCCTGGAAAGAACCAGCCCTGAGGGAACAGGCAGTTCAGCACCATGGTTAAGAACCATCCTTGGAGAAAGGAAACTGCCTCTCCCCCAGGCTCCCTGCGGAGTGTAGCGAGGCAAGGGGCACACCACAGAAACAAGTTTAAAACTCACCCTGACCCAGGGCACAGGAGCCCTCTGTTCGACCTAACATCACGTAAACTGGCGGCGTTAGCACTGCTCAAAATGTTGGCAGTGTTGAGCCGCTGAAGTTGAGACAGACCTAAGTGACTCTACGGTCTCCTCAAGCCGGGAACACTCCTCCCCACAGGGGAGAGGAGCCGGAAGAGAAGTGGCAAGCGTAATACAAATGCCCCCTGGCAAGGCCACAGACTCAGAGAAATGCAATCAGAGCTAAGGCTCCAGCAAGGGCACACACTTACAGCGAGAAGAATTGGGACAGAGAGATGTTGCTAGCGCGGCTTGGAAACCTGGGCTACGTCAGTTATACGAAGTGGTTCATCTTGTAGATTTCTTATCCGGCGTCTGGAGACGGGATGGTTCCAGAGATCTGTGCCTCTGTGCCGTGCTAGGGCAGGGAAAGCCACCCGCTGTGACAGTAGCTAATAGCCACGTGGGAGACCTGCGAGGAGCTCTTCAATTCTGCTCTGGGGAGCGAGAAGCGCTCTGTAATTCTGGCTTTCATATATTTATATATATATATATATATATATATACCTTTAAAAAATTATTTCTGGGAGCAAGTATACCAAGTTTGACTATGTCTTTTTGTTGTAGCCATCAAGATGCAATGGAAATTTTGACTCTACTACCTTAGGGAGAATTATGCTGAAAACGATGAATTTTCACTGAAACTCTTTTTTTCCCCCCCCCCAGAAGATTCTCCAATATGTTAATTAATTTAATTTTATGTTGATTTTAATGTCATGATTTTTTTCCTCTCATTTTTTCCACTTTCTGGTTTTTCTAAACTTGCTTTATTTAGGGTTCTTTTCCATGTAAAATTCTGATTCTTTTCTTTTTCCTTTAGAAGTCCACATAAACTCTTAACTGAGCGTAACTTCTACCATTGCAGATTTTATTTTCTGACAGTAACTAAATTTAGTATTCCTGGGTTGTATTTCATAGACCTAAAGAGACACCTAACTTCTTAGCAATTCATATATATATTTTTTACCACGCATTCACTTAGACATGAATCTTCTTGTGCTAAAAACAAGTATACAGAAAGCAAACATAGATTACAAGTAAGATTGGTTGGATTTATCTCATGGATTTAAGATTACTCTTAGAACAAAGTGTAACAACAAAATTGTTGGTGAGGTCTAGATGAGAAAGCTCACGTGTTTGTGGGGAGGATTCAGCCATGTGATTAAAGTCACTGTTTTTCACTTGGTTTGAGGATACATGTTTATTCTAGAGAATTCTGCAGTAGTGTGCTGAAGAAGATACTGGGCAAGGGAAGAACCCTCAGCAGGTTGCGGTTGGAGGAGCGGAATCTGAAGATCAGGGACTTATATTCGCTGCCAGATAGGGTCCCTCTACCTCTTTGAGCTGAAGTGAAATCTGAAGTGAAAGCTGTGGTTGAATAATGTGGTGACACTCAGGTGTTAACAGTATCTGTGAGCAGCAAAGTTAAGGCCCGTGGACGCTACTTGCAGTAATCCAATGCCATGGGTGTTTAGCTTGGTCATGAAGACACTGGTTTGAACATTAGTAGCCCTCAGCACAGGACCTGAGTTGAGCCTTCTGCTCTGGCTCTAGATTCCAGCTTTCCACTGAAGTGGGCACTGGGAGATGGTACCAATGGCTTAACCAGCTGGCTTCCTGTTATCCCCACGGGGAAAACATGGTTGAGTTCTAGCTTCCCAAATTCAGTCTCCCACCACTCTAGGCACTTAAGGAGTGAACTAGTGCGTGGGAGTACTCACTCATTCTCTCTCTCATAAATACACATTTAATGATATGTTTTGAATTTATTTTTGACATATTTTAAAAATCAAACTCCATGTCTTAAGCTTTGTATCAGCTTAAATTCCACCTTCTCAGAGGCATCGTCCTGATGGCCTCTACTTTCAGCTGTATCATTGCACCTCCCCACATGATAACACCACAACTTCAACTTCTGGGTCTTCCATCTGACTTTCCTGACTTTCTAAAGTATAAAGGTCTGTCTGGTTAGACATCATTCTGACACTTGGCCCAGTGCCTGGCTTACAGGAAATGCTCCATAAATATGTTTAAATAGACTTTTCTCCAAGTTTATTTTGTTGTGTTCGTGTTGTCAATATCGAGCTCATTGGGGTTGGCGTTGTGGCATAGTGGGTAAAACCTCTATGTGGGACCTGCATCGCTTTTGATCCCATCTGCTGTTAGTGAGCCTGGGAAAAGCAGTAGATGATGATCTGAGTGCCCGAGCTCCTGCTGCCCAAGGAGCAGACCCAGAGGAAGCTCCTGGCTTCACGCTGGCTTTGATCTGGTCATTGCAGCCACTTGGGGAGTGAGTGAACCAGCAGATGAAAGACCAGACTCTCTCTTTCCCTTTCTCTAATTCTGAATTTCAAATAAATAAATAATAAATACATCTTGTAAAAGTGCTTAACTCATTAAATACCAAATATATGTTTGAAGAAATAAACAGCAAAATATGCCTGATAAAATGTGCTTGGAAAAATCTGACCTAAATTATTGGAAGTGCTATGTACACACAGTTGTGCCTGAAGGCACACATTCTAATGCATTCTGTCACAGAGTCCATCTGGTTGTTGCCTAAGTGTGAGGTTTACGTGAGTTCAGTGCTCATCGGTGTTATAACATTTTTCTTTTAACTGAACATTTACAAAGAAGCCAGAGGTCACAG